TTGGTTTTATCCCAAATTGCTACCCTCATATGCTAAAGTGATGGCAAGTAGGAAACTAAGCTCTCTCTGGTCTTTAAGGTCATACAATGGTGGAATTGATCTATCACCCCGATCACATAAGAAATAAAAGCAATCCTCGGTTGGTGTACACAATGACACCTTATGACGTTGACAATCTATCGTGTCTCGGAAGTGAGTCAACCAATCCATACCCAAAATAACATGAAACGTATGCATGTCTAGAATGATGAAGTCAAAAGGGAGTCAAGGATCCGCGACCGCAATCTTGCAAGAGCATTACATTCGACCTAATGCACTCTATTCTCAATTGGTGACTCAACCTATAACGAAGACATTGATCAATCTCTAAACCCAAAATAGATACAAAAGTAGAAGATATAAAGGAGTGTGACGCACCCATATTAGTCAACACACTATCTAATGAATTAAACACAATAAAATTACCTCTTACAAATGAGGGCCCTAGTAATTGATCTTGCGTGGTAACAACATACACACGTGCTGGTGGTCTCTGGTCAACCTACTCACCTCTCGGAGCAAAGGACTGTTGCACTGATTAAGTCGATGTTGATCCTTGGATAGCTCAAAAGGCCTGGATTGAATGAGCCGACTAATGGCTCTGAGTCTACCTTAAACCCAATACAACAGATGCGCCTCCCAATTGCAAGCACGTCCTCCTCAAATGCCTTGAATGCCTACACTGAAAGCATGTAGGCCCCTGTCCCATACTCTAAGATTGACTCTATGCACGAGCAGGTGGTGGTCGTGGTAACATCTGCTACCCTCCTCCCTTCTGTGGACATACTAAGGATTGTGGCTCAGCTAGCCACACATGAAACAAGTGACCCCTCCTTGAGTATTCTTTTTTGTACCAGTGCTAGGCATTGGGAAAGTAGACCTAGTCTGCTAAAATTGAGGTGAGAATGTAGTAGAACCCTTCTGCCTCTTGCTAATTTTGGAGTCCCTCTATGACTTCTACCCTTTTGACCTTGAACTCGAAGCCTCTCCTCCTCCTCTTGAATGGTGATCTCAACATGCGCCATTGCCTTAACAAAGTGGTTGTAGCCTCGGATCATGTTCTCGACAACCCTGAACATGATCTTAGTTCTCAAACTCTACGCAACAACATTGCTCCGTCATTACCAACTCCGATATAAACCGGGACAAACTATTAAAGGCTGCCTCGAACTCGGCCATAGATGTGCTCAGTTGATTGAGCTTCTTAAATTCTTGCCTCAGTTTCTCCCTAATGGTGGGAGGCAGGTACTTGTCTTGGAAAGCGATAGTAAATGTTTCCCAAGTTGCCCTGATCCTGCCTTTAGCATAGTTATACCATTGGCTCAATCAATGAGTATCTTCTAAAACCCCCAGTGTTGGTAACACTTGTCCTTGGGCTGAAAGGGTCCCAGATTCAACAAAAGCTCATCGTCGTTGATGTGAAGCTTCTCGAAAGTCTTCACAGTTTGTATAAGCCACTCATCCATTTTCATTGGATTGGACTTGCCATAAAAATCCTTTGGGTTCGATCGAGAATTCTCAACTGAGAAAGACAATCTCAACTTAGATAGGTTCTCTCAGGCTTGATTCTCCACCATTAAAATGTTCATAGATTGTCTCAAAGTGCCCATCATTTCCTGGGATAAAGCACCCATAACGCTTTGGCCTACTTGCCCCGACACTTCTGTTTGTCCCATTTGCTCGACCACATTAGCTTGGCCAAACCTCTCCTCTTGCCCAGGAATGTCCTCTTCAACTAGTACTTCATGTACACTTCGGCGAGCCCTACCATAACTCCCACCTCTACGACTGTGTCCTTGCCTTTGTCCTGACATCCTAATTGAAGCCAAATGCGAACAAATTTTATCACACAAATATATGTGCCCTGGAACATCCTTTTCAACTAGTACTTCATGTACACTTCAGCAAGCCCTACCACACCTCCCACCTCTACAACCGTGTCCCTGCCTTCGTCCTGACATCCTAATTGAATCCAAATGCGAACAAATTTTATCACACAAATATATGTGCTCGCAACCAAGTGTCACATGTCCTATTACAATAATTAACAAGGAAGTACACCCCATATAAGCATTTAGCCACATAAACACATATGGATTACACCCTTAAGAGAAATATTCATTCCACAAAATTTCAAGAATTCCTAGTAGAATGAGTATTGATCAAATGCCCTTCTATTAGACCTCAAGAGATTTAATAGATACGGAAAACATCTTAAAAGTTTAATCCCTTTCCCACTTAGTCACACAAACACGTTATCACCTAACATACAAGACATGTAGCATTTCTAACTAGCGAAATAAACCCATTGTGCAAAAATCACTTCCCACGAGCCCCAAGTATTTTCACCTAGTAGCTTTGATACCAGGTTATAATGCCCCAAAAGCATAGACATCTAAAAACCCAAGTTTAACCTACAAATGTGTTCTATAGTCCTTTAATCCCATCATTAACTAGGAGAACAATAGATAATCCATTTGTCAATATACCTACCAAATCTTCTTTTTCTATTCAAGACATTTCCAAGAGGTTTACAAAATATGTCACATGCATTCATATATTCAAAATCCCTAGAATATGAATCTATAGCATGTGATAGGTGAAATTAAAACAAGTTAAGTACAAATTATGCCTTAACGACTACAAGTTCAAAGGCTTCGCTTGGTTAGACAACATCGTTCTCAAACCCATACAGAAATAGCCCCTAGCTTGCAAAAATAGCGAAACAACAAAAATTTAGAGCCTCATGCTCCATAAGATCCTCCAAGCCATCACTTCAGTTGAGGCACAACTTCTTTACTTGAAAATAGTTTCCAAAAAGGGATAAGTTTATAGCCCAGAAGAGATAATCGAAACAAAGTACATACAATTTAACAATATCATGAGGTGCGATGCAAATGTTATGCCAATGCCCAAAACATACATTTTTCTCATTTTGAAATCAATATGCCACGCACTTACTCCAAAAACAATATCAATTCAATTATTCATTTGATAAACAAGGGGAGTAAATATGACATATGGTATCCCTAGGCCAGTGTTTACAAGTAGGCTCTCAAAGCATTACCAATCACCACTTTGTCAGCTCTTAATCGGAAGGAACTTGATACCTACTCCGCGCGTAATTTTGGACTTTTACCATGACCTCAACCTAACTTAAATCACAATCCATACTACGTAACCGGACTTATCAAGATATTTACCCCATTACACAACACTTTCAAAGTTCCAAGAACCGATTAAAATATCAATTTCTCCATTTCAAACATGAGAAGATGCGATGATCCACGTGGTGCAAGAATTTGTAAATATAACAATTTAGCTAATCCACATGTCATTTCCACAACAATCAACACAAACCCTCCACTGGTAGCCAAAATGGTTAACTCTATTCAATATATTCCAACATGGAAAATATGTAATGAGAGCTTAGTCAACGACATTAACGCAAAAATCATTTCTCAACCCTTCTCAAGAACATTTTCAATTATAAACGATTTCCAAAAAAAAAAAAAAAAGAAAAAAGAGAGAGGGGATTTCAAGTCTCCCCAACTCACCTCCTTTGAATACAACTTTCGAAATTTCATTTATTCAATAAGCATATATTTTTTTCCCTTCACAATCACACGTTTCTCAAAACTTAATCAACCTCTATTGCAACATTTCCAAATCCTATGATTTTACCGAAAATTGGGAACTTCTTATTTTTTTAAAAAAGATTTTTCATTGAAACCCACATTTTTACACAAAACCATGCTCAATGACAAGTGCGTTCAAGAAAACCTTGAGAACCTCCCCTTTTTGTTCCTAAATGTAGATAGAAATAAAACTCTAACTCTCGCAAGCATTATACTATCATGATAGCATATAATAAAGTTAAAACACATGTACTAAGGTTAGAAAATCCCTACCTCAAGTTTAGAAGAGGAGGAAGAAAAAAAATCCCAAATTTCCCTATAGTTGAAATCTGATCTCCATCACACAAAACGCTCCTTTCGAGATGCTCTCTAAAAAGGCTTGAAGAACTATGGTCAAAAAATCAATAGATCTTGGTGGATGGAGAAATTTATGAGGGTTGGTAAAGGTTTCTCAAGAGAGAGATGAGAGAAAATAGAAAAGTGGAGTGTAGAGCGCAAGACGGAGAAATGAAAAAGTGACTAAGAAATGAGTATCCGCTCAGATTTTTAAGTGATTGGACGCGATTCCCAAATCTAAATTCGAACAGACTACTCGAGCTGTTTATCTTGCACTTAAGCGATGAATTCAAACTCCCAATATCTCTCTCCTCTGCAGAACAGACCGCCCGAGCAGTGGAACTTGCAAACTCCAAGTATCTCAAACTTCAGAACATAGAATTGGGCGAACACAATGACCGCTCAAGCGACTAAATCTATGCTTGAGCGGACTTTGGTTTTAACTAAGGCTGCACACCATTCTAGGTATTCCCATCCTTCCCCAGTCCAATTTCACACCCAAAGATCTCAAATTTCATCTTGGCAACACAATTTAGAATATGAACAAGTCTAGAAAACAAAGAGTGGGTGACAATGCACTACTAAGGAGATTCCAACAGCAATAAAAGTTCTAAGATAGAATTATTAAATATTAGTTAACATTACTAAATTAGGTTTTAAAAGACCAGGGACATCACACCACTTCATATGTGTCATTCAAGCAATGAATTGGATTAGAAAATAAAAGAATTGAAGAAAGATTTTTGTAAAATTTACATCTTTAACATAATGCAATGGATGAGGTTGAGTAACAAAGTTGAATAGAAATTTTACTCAAAAAGGAAAAAAAGTTAAAATAAGGCATGTGTGTATAGTCAATTCAACAACCAACTAATGTCTGCTTATGTCACTACGAGAACTCTGATAGAAAAGTAAAAATAAATGATAGAAAAGTAAAAATAAATGATGGCCACTTCTTGAAAGATGGATATCAGCAAGTGTGGCATTGACAATAATACACCACAAAAAGCGATGAACAAATCAAATTTCTTGACATTACTTTCTTCCCAAGTTAGTCCTTTGTGAATGACTCTAACGACTCCACTAACCTTTTAAATATCTGAGCAGATAAGTCGATGTTTGCTACAAGTAAAAGCTCTCAACTTTGTAAGCCTCCACCTATTAGTAATGGGAAATCCAGTTAGCTGATCTTGTAAACCGACCATGATAAGGCTACAAAATTTTCTTCCATTATTTTATTTCTAAACATATCAAAAGCTTATCACTACCCTCACTAAAGGCTTTTGGAGTATTATGTCCAAATTGAATTTATGGAGAATTGAAGATTTCATTATCATAAATCCATACTTGTTAACCTTCAAGAGGTGCTTCCACTCTCAACTTTTGTTGATAGTGGAGGACTTGACACTTCAGCTAGAGCTTCGAGCATGATTATGACCTCAGATGTATCATCCAAATAGTACTTGGCTTTACTTGGTTTTTGTCCAACAGTGCAAGCAAACACTGATGTATTGCAGGAGAGAACACCATTGTTCATTGCATTGCCAATGATCTCAAACATGTCCTCATCAGATCTATCATCACCAATACATAGAACAAAATCAGCCTGCCTTCCACTCTTAGCCATTGATGCAAAGATCTTCTCTGCTACTAAGCCTTTACTCACTCCCTAAAACAATAACAGATTCAAAATCAAATTGACAATACTATGATAACAACCAAGCACAATACATGAACAACCAATACATTGACAAACAGACTACGGTAACAATTCTATAGAAAAATTTGCATTTATCAAATTGTGGTTATCTATTGGAATAGTAGTCAGGCTATTACACTAAGGCTTAGTTTGAATGTTGAGAAACTTGGGAGGACTGGGACTGTGATTCCTAGTTTTCATGCTTCTACTTTTTGGATTGGGTTTTAATGGAAAAGTAATTCTTAATTACCTACTTAAGTTGGAATCACTCTTTCTAACTATGCAAGAACCCAATTATCACACTTGTCATGGTAATCTCACATTCCTAGAGAAATGTGAACATTTTAAGAGTAAAAAAACGTATACAGGGGCACCCAATATTTAAAATTTTATCATTTTCACATTGAGAATTCCTAATGAAACCAAACTTTTGAATTACACGGACACAACAATTTTATTACTAGTACATGCATTCATGGTAATGAAATTCTCATTTATTCTCTTTGATTTCTATCATCTATGAAGCATGGACATGTACATATGAACGACACTGACACGTATACATAAACTTTTGAAAAATACATGACACGACATGTAAGGATCAAGCCAATTTAAACTTTAAATTATTATATTTGAGGCCCAAGCTTGTTTAATTATTTATAATTAAGTTACTTTCTCATTTTTATTTTTTTTTTCACAAGTTATGACTTCGATTTGGTTGAACAACTTTCAGCTCTGATTTGAGATTTTAGAGATAATGAACTCTCTGAGCCTGGTAGGAAACTTTTCTATGTTAGTATTATTTAATTATTGCTTTTAGAACAGAATAATTAATTGTGCATTTTGATCCTTAAAATTGTAAAATTATACAAAAAGGCTTGAGATATTTTGGGAAAACTTGAATTGGGGACATGGAGGGCTTTTTCAAGCTTCTCAACTACTACCGCTAACCAAAAATTCAGCCACATTCTCACACTCTCTCCCCCAAGTCACTTTTCATTTTTGTGGCCTTTTTCTCTACCCAACTATTCGACAAAGTCCTAATCTGTTGGGCTTACACAAATATAGTAAATTCTACACTAATCTTTTTAGAAAGTAGGATTACATATGCATATTCTAGTTGGGAAAAAAAGATTAGGACAATGGACAATGGAGATCTTAATTAAGCATGATATTTATATAATCTTGGTCAGCACTTCAGAGAGAGAAACAAGGCTTTTCTTCCTCCCAAAACCACCTAACCTGTGGATCGCTTTCTCCTCTGCATCTCTTGAGTTTTATTCTTCCTCCTCGATTGTTGAGCACTTTAGACTTTGTATTGATCTTCCACTATATGATCTCTAGGGTTTGGTTGTTACTTAAGGTGCACTAGGGAGTTGAGTAGTGAGATTAGATAGTGAGATTTAAGTGTTGTTTCTTGTGTTCCTAAAGACATGTTTGAAGGCTTGGTGGCTCGGCTTTTTTCTCCATTTCCTTTGTTTGTTTCCTTATTAAAGCTTCATTAAGGTAGGGGTTTCTCAAGTGGTGGTGGAGGTTTGCCAATGAAGAAACAACCTTGTGGAAGAAGGTGATTTGTAGCAAATACAAAGTTGAAGGTGGGAAATGGCTCCCAGAGCCTATAGCAGCCAGTAGATGTTCCAAAATTTGGGGAGATATTTTGACAGCAGCAACTCAAAGGGCCAGCCTCCTACAATTTTATGTCAATAATCTGTAGATTAAAGTGGGAGATGGGTGTAGAGTATGTTTCTGGCATGACTGCTAGAATGGAATAGTCAGCCTTAAAGACTTATTCCCTAGACCATTCAGATTGTCTAATAATAAGGATGAGTCTCTAAGGGCCTATGTGGTTAGAAGAGGCAACTCTGTCAACTGGGTGTTTAGCTTTAGGAGGGCTTTATTTCAATGGGAACAAGAGGAGCTTAATAAACTTATTCAATCTATCACAGCAGGCCCCATGTTGAATTTGAACCTCCATACTCCGGATATGGCAGTTTGGTTAGCAGCTAAACCAGGGCAATCCTTTGTCTCAACCCTGTATCAATACACTGATTTACAACATAGAGAAGTTAAGAGTTCTTGCAGTTTGGTGTGGGTTAAATACCTCCCCCCTAAAGTCCAATTTTTCGGTTGGCTTGCTTGCAAGCATAAGGTTAGAACTTCTGTTTTTCTGCACAGAATAGGTGTGCTGAATGCTAGTGCTGGAACTATATGCTTTTTCTGCAAACAAGCACAGGAAACAATAGAACATCTACTTATCTTGTGTCCTAAGGTATGGAGAGTTTGGGCAGGTCTGCTGCAGTGGTGAGGAGCTCAGTGGGTGACACCTAGATCTGTTGAAGGACTATTGCAGTGGTGGGCAGGAAATAACTTCACCAAAGCTGAAAGGAGAATTTGGAATGCAATCCCTCTGGTGGCTCTATGGTCCATTTGGAAGCACAGGAATGAATGCCTTTTTCAAGATGTCTAACCTAACCTAGAAGAGCTGCATGAAACTATCGCTATTAGGACTGCAATTTGGCTGAAATCTAATTCAAGGGATTTCCACTTTCCCATCACTGATTTTATGTATAATTTGGTGCAAATTAGAGTATGCTTGGGTGGGAGGCTGTAATGCATTTGTTAACAACCTTTGAAGGCAATACAGACTTGTTATGCTTCAGGTTCACAAAATGTGGAGGTGAATTGCTATGGTCTACTACATTGGATTTGGGTGTATTGTCTGCTAGGTCGCTCTTGGTCAGTTTGTGATTCAGTTGATTCTGTAATACATTGAGGTTGTTGTATTGTTGTATTGTTGGTTGGCTGTTCTGTTTGGTCTGCTGGTAGTGATGCTATTTGCAGATATCCATTTGCATTGATTATTGGTTTGAATATTTGGTGTATTTGCACTGGTTTCTATGGAGTGTGCTTGGTGGAATGCAACTGATGGGGTTTTTTTTTGTGGAATGCAACTGTTCTAGTGTGCTGGTGGTCTGCTGCGTGATGGTCTGGTTGCTGATATGTTAGGAGTTCATTGGGCTAATTGGACTGTATGCTGATTTGTATGCTATTATGCTGTTGAAGTTGCCTCTATTGCTTCTACCTGGTTTTTTTTGGTCCTTTTATGTTCTTCTTTTCTCTGTTTGTTTTGTGGCTGTTCCTTTTGTTTTCCTTTTTGTTGGTTCCTCACCAACAGGCGCTCGGAGCTTTGTGTTACCTCCAAGCTCCTCTTTATTGATGTTTCTTTTCATACTTTGTATGCTTCATCAATAAAGATTTTCTTGCCGTTCAAAAAAAAAAAGGTAGGGGTTTCTCCATTCTTATTTATATACTAACATGCTAGGATTTCTCTTTCCATGTTCTCCCCTAATTTTTTGCAGTATTGATTGATCTATGGATATTTTATGCTCTTTTTGCTCTATTCTCACTTTTTCGATACTTTATTGTGTTCTTATGGAATGAAAATGGTAGAAATGTATGTATTATGGTTTATGGCTTAAAATCACATACTATATTGAAAATGGCTATTTGATTTTGAAACCCTAAAAAATGTGCTTGGAGATGTATTTGATGAGTTTTTATATGCATATTGGCATGTTTGAGCTCACTTTGTTAAAATGTAAAAATAATAAACTGTTGTTTACATGGGAAAATATGATTTCTGGAAAGTTTGGGATTAATTATATATAGACTTAAAAGATGACATGATTTGGATTTGATTTGCTATTTTTAAGGATTTTTTAAGTTATTTTTGCTTACTAGTTTTATTAGTTTTATGTCTTCTAATCCTATTATATGCTTTGTGTGATTAATCATATATTGATGGTATAAAATATGTTTTTTTAGTTACTTGAAACTCAAAGGGTAATTTCTAAGAAAATGATAAAATTATAATTTTACCAACTAGGGTTAAAATGGTAAATTTAAATTTGAAAGGTAAAATTATCGTTTTAGTCCTTAAGAGTAAATGGTAATTTTTCTAATAAAGAGCATCTTGTTAAAGTAGCATTAAGGGCATTTTAGTAATGTCAAGAGTAGAATTTGTTGAAATTGGTTGTACGGGAAGTTATGAAATGTAGCATAGTGTTGAAAATTAAAAGTATTGAATTTCCCTACCTATTGTTGTTGGATTTGTGCTTTGGGCCCTGTACTTGTTAGATTGAGTTGAGTAATGTAACGCCCTCAATTTCATAAAATTCGAAATATCAATTATGATTCATAGTCCCTATTTATTTCCATTTATCAATAGTATTTAATGTGCGGAAGTAATAAATTATCCCAACATAAAGTACATGTAATCTTATTTGTACATCTCACATGAAACTAGTTTCTTTTAAGAGTATTCCTTTGATTAGTCCTTATTTAAATTCCAATTGATTATTCCATTATTATTCTAGAATTTTCATGAAGTTTTCACTTGGCATATATTAATCACACGGTATCCACCAGTGCATATTTATGTGGATTATGTGATATATAGATTGTGGAGTAAGTTGTTGCAGGTTTTCAAATAGACCAATACTTCTTAAGACCCACAACAATCAAGATAGATGAGGTTAAGGTATGGTGCCAAATCCATGTTATGGTCAAACAAAGCAAGTTGTGTATATATGTAACCATGTTTATGGAACCTAGTTGTGTTTTGTGATTTTTTTTCCTTCTAATTTTGAATATAGAAAGAGACGATCATGTCAAGTTCATTTAGAAAATTTGGGAATGAAATGTGAATATTAGATATGACATACCTGAGGTTTCACTTCAACAATGAACTGACCACTTTTCACTGTAACAGGTTCATTTGCCAACACGCTTTCAAGATGGTCCAACATCTCCTTAGCTTGACTGGATCCAAAACTTGGATCTGCGTCCCGATGGTGCCAAACCAATGCACTCTCCTTTGTTTCAATGTAAGAACCATCAGTGGCTTCTGTATATAATTCCATTATAGGCTTAGCCATCTGTACCCACCCAAAATGACTGCCTTGTCCGCAAATTTCCCATTTCTTATCTGCAAACCACCTGAAATACAATGTAATTTAGGAATATAGACCACTGAAATAGCAAAAAAGACAAGCATGCAAACACATAGTATACCTGATGAAGTACCCGTGTTCAGCTGCAATTCCAAGTTTCTTGCATGAAGAAAACCATTTCCCTAAACTATCCTTTCCGCGTCCACTGACAAGAAAAGTTGTATTTTTAACATCATCACATAGTGTATTTATAATTGATATAACCTCCTGATTGGGGGATTTGTTGATGGATGTTTCAGGCATCACAGTGCCATCATAATCAAACAATATGGCCCTACTTTTGGCTTTTGAATAAGTAGATACAATCGTGTTGATGGTCAATTTTCTAAAATTAGGATCGAGTGCTACGACTCTAAAACCAAAGCTCAAACCAATAGCCCAACACCGTCGCCTAAAATGGTCTTTGCAAGTTCTTTCCAAATCTTGGAAGAAGCTTCTTGACCAGTATGCTACATCATGTGTGCTAACATACCTATAATGCTTCTCATGACGCAACTGTTTTTCAGCATCGGCCATTGAAATTGCCTCATTCAATGCTTCAGCAGTTGCTTTCACATTCCATGGGTTAACTCGTATAGCACCACTCAGTGAAGGAGAACATCCCATGAACTCTGATAATACTATCATGCTCTTCTTTGGCCCATTTGATTCTAAACTAGAATTAGAACTAGAAATTCCTTGCCTGCACACAATGTACTCATAAGGGGTAAGGTTCATACCATCCCTTAAAGCTGTGACAACAACACACTCGGCAATGGTATAATATGCAGCTCGTTCACTAAGAGAAATTGGTCTATCAATGAAGACAATTGGTTCATAACCAGGTTGCCCAAAATTTTGATTGATTCTCTTGCAACTTGCTTGTATTTCAGCCTGTATTTCCTCAAGATCTTTCCCCCTTCCACGAGCAGGATTTGCAATCTGCACTAATATTGCCTTTCCTTGCCAATTTGGGTGTTGCTTGAACATCTGTTCCATTGCCAAAAGTTTTAGATTGACACCTTTAAAGATGTCCATGTCATCGACCCCAAGCAATATGGTTTTTCCTTCAAATTGTTGCTTGAGTTCTTGAACCCTCATGTCCTCATCTGCAAGTCTTAACACGGACTCCATTTGCCCCATGTGAATCCCAACCGGCATGATCTTTATACCGATAGTTCTTCCATAGTATTCCAACCCAATATAACCTCTTTTCGACAAATACTCCAAGCCCAGCATTCGACTACAACAAGAAAGGAAATGACGAGCATAATCAAAGGTGTGAAAACCTATAAGATCTGAATTTAGTAGTGCCTTGAGAATTTCCTCTCTCACAGGCAGAGTCCTATACATTTCTGATGAAGGAAATGGACTGTGGAGAAAGAAACCCATTCGCAATCGATTGAAACGCCTCCTCAAAAAAGTAGGTAGAACCATTAAATGATAATCATGAATCCAGACATAGTCGTCTTCGGGGTTTATCACCTCAATCACCTTTTGTGAGAAAATCTTATTTGCCGCCACATATGCCTCCCACAAGGACCGATCAAATTGACCTGCATAACTTCCAGAAAGTGGAAGCATGTAATGGAAAAGGGGCCATAAATGTTGCTTGCAAAAGCCATGATAAAATTTTGCCAAAATGTCTTGAGGCAAAAATGCTGGGACACACTTGAATCTCTCTAACAATAGCTGTGACACATGGTCTTGTTCCGACGAATCTACCTCAACTCTCAAAGACCCAACATAAATAACCTCCATATCATCTGGCAAACCATCCTTAATATGCAGTAACAAAGAATCCTCATCCCAAATAAATACCCATCCTTTATTGTCTGGTCTACGCTTAGCTTTCACCGGAAGCTGATTAGCCACAATAATTACTCGATCTACAATAACTGATGATGGCACATCAAATGCCACATTATTGGCTTGATCATCATCATGCTTTGATATAACCCCTGCAACGGTCGTTGCCTGGAGAAGAGACTTTCTTTCATGCCCCATCACCGGGATATTCCCCGATGCTAGATCTAATAGATTGGTATATGATCTAGACATCATTTTTACCAATTTTTACACACAAAATCTTGCACAAATATCTTCAAATACAAATCAAACCAAGATTGCCTTGTTTAGTTAAACAAGTATAATTGTCCACAATCTGTAATGCATATGTCAAATATATCAGATCACTAAATTGATTAAAAGTTTGTAATCTGGATTCCAAATTGATTAAAAAAAAAAAATTGATTAAAAGTTTAAAATCACATAAATAGGTAGATCCATGTAATCAAACAGAAACCCAAATGTGATATGTCAAATGTAGTTAAATGAAGATCAATTTTTTCATCATAAGACTCATTAGCACAACCTATACACAATGAAACTACATATATGTAATTTTGATATAACATGTTACATAAAAAAATTTTTGAAGTTACGATCAATATGTAACTATATATGTCTATTTATTATGCCATACAAAGAGAAAAGTGAGAGAAACTTGAAACTGATCTCTTTGTCTAATGATTCATATATTGAGCATATTTAGGATCTGAAAGTCAAATCTAAGAAATAAAGAATGTCATGTTCTCTCTCCCTCTCTCTGAAACTCACCTGCAACTCTTTCTCTTTCTCTCTCTCCCTCTCTCCCAAAAATCTGTGTGTATATGCCTTTCTTTTTTTGTCTCCTTCTCTCTATCTAGAATGCTTCTTGGCTTGAGGAAAAAAAACCAAAAAACCAAAAAAATAGGGAAAAGAGAACAAGATCAGGTCAACAATGGACACAAAGTGGTGTTAGCTGGCATAGATGTGGTATTTAGTCACGTTCAAATTTCTAATTAGTAAACATGCGTCTTATGAACAACGAATCCATGTGTCACTCAACCTGCACCATTTAATTTTCGCCATGGATTTTATTCCTTTGCACCACCTAGATGTTGGGATGTAGGCTATGGATAAGAATCCTTCACTTCGTGTGACTGGGTAATTACTATCACCTAATTTCAAGTTGGGACTAGACTAGCTGGTCGCAAAATATTATTTGAAAATATGTGGAGTCAATCAGGCGTTACCGACGACCAAATTCGCTTGGAATTAATCCAAACCTCGTTTCAAATTTTGAGATTTATACATCCCTCTATGGGTTTGGTAACTCAAAATGTATGACAAAATTTTTGATTAGGAAATAGTAGTTGGGATTGGGAATTGATTGTTACGAGTAGAAAATGTTTTATTCACTTACCACACCATTTTGGTGCCCTAATCTCTCAAGTTGACTTTGCAATATTGGGCTCAATTTTTAGAAAAAATAATACTATTGGAATATTATGAATATTACAGTGCTAAAATAACTCAATTCACATTGCAAATGGTTTGTCAAATACTATTGCCAAAATGTTATCCTGTTTTTCAATTTGAGCATATGGGTGTCTGTTTAAAAACTATTGGATGTGATTACAATCTAGTTCACCAATGAAGGGTTTGAAAGTCGATCTAAATATTGTTGGTCTGAATATTATTATCTTTACTGGTTAAAATGATTATGTGAACTGATCCAAATACAATTGATATGAATATATCATGTTTAACCGAATTTTAAGTCTGAAAATTAGTCCAAATAATGTTGATCTGAATATTATCATGTTACCTAGTTTTAAAAGTCTGAGAACTGGTCCAAAATATATCATTATGAATATTATCGTGTATTCTAGTTTAAATGTCCAGGAATTAGTCCAAATGTTATTAATATAAATATTATGCTGTTTTCTAGTTTTAAAGTTTGGGAACTTGTCAAAAAATATTGGTATGAATATCATCATGCTTTCCCCTTTTAAAGTCCAAATATTATTTGTTTGAATATTATCATGTCTACCATTTTAAAGTTTGGAGGATAGTTCAAATAGTATTAATTGAATATTATCATATTTTTCAAGTTAATGGTTCGAAAACTGCTCCATATATTATTGCCATAAATATTATCATGTTTGTCAAAGACTAGACATTTTCAGTTCTTCAAAACACTTAATACTCAGGTTCTGTCAGTTCTTCAAAACACTTCAGGTTCTGTCATGCCCCAATTTATGGACATTTTCAGTTCTTCAACACAGTTATACTCAGGTTCTGTCACGTCCCAATTTATCAGTTGGTGGGTTATTACTAATTTATTATAATTAGGGTGATTGAACCTAACAAAGTTTAGTTTTAGAAGATTAATGTGGCATTTAAGAGTTAAACAACTCCAAAATATTTTGTTAACGATGAAATCCAATTTGAGATGAATTTATATGAAAATACTATTTTTCACCAACTTGAAACCTCCATCCCAATTTCGTACCATAGACTCGTCATTTTGACCGGTTTTAAGATTTGAGCGCCATTTTCTAAGCACCCAATGATAAAATGTGTTATCTTCGATTTCTCTAGCAAAAAACTCAAGTCTGAAAGCGGATCCCACCATTTTCACCTGTTTTGGCCAAATATTTTTAGACCTTTTAAAAAATGATTATTGTTGTGCATATATCCGATTAGTTTCATGATGTTCAAGCTCATTCTTTCAAGCAAAATGTTGCGGTTTTGATAAAACCGAACAAAGACAAAGTGGGAATGAATGAAAATGACCTCTTTAAAAACCTTATTTTTCCTGCAATTTGCTTCAGCCGTACAAAATTTAGTCCAACCGTATAATTTTTTGCCTGTTCGGTCATATTCTGTTAGCTGGCCATAAAATAGAAAGCTGGACATCTTTTGGCTAGCCGAACAAATTTGTCAAGAAACATAGGAGTTTCAGGGAGATGGTCCCCCAATGCATGTAAGGTTGCCACCTCTGCAATTTTCGCACGAATTATGGACCAAGCAACCTTCAACCTATAAATTCACCACTCTTTCACTTGTTGGAAGGATGAGGAGGTTTACCAAGGCATAGAGACATTCATCTTTGATCTCAAAGCCTTTTGAACAGGGCTTTTCTCAAATTAAGTCAAATTAGCAATTTAATTTCCAAACTAGGCCTAGTTTGGACGGAATTCCCAAACTAGGCTAAAACATGATTGTGAACCACGCTTTCAATGTTTTTGTGGCTATCGCGCGGAAATTTTGTGAAATCGTAAAAGCGTATTTTCAAACTACGCTTTTAATTAAGAAAGCGTGGTTAAAGTATGATTATAAACTACGCTTTTAAGGATTTTTTTTTTCTTCATAAAACGTTGTTTCAAACCACGTTTTAGAATTTTTTTTGAAAAAACGTGGTTTTGAACCACGCTTTCAACACACTCACTCCACGCACTCACTCTTCTCTTTTCTCTCTCTCTCTCACACAAACACTCATCTCACACACACACCAAACCAATATAATTTTTAATATATATAAATTTTATTTTATAAAATTAAGACCAATATTAAATATATATAATAATAATTTATAATAGTAAATAATAATCAACTATATGAAATTAAGACCAATATTTTCAAATAATTTTTTTCAAATAAATTTTTTTTTTCAATTCATTTTTTTTCTATTAATTTTTTTTCAATTAATCTTTTATTTCAATTAAATTTTTTTCAATTATTTTTTTTTTCAATGAATTTTTCTTTTCAACTAATAGTAACCGATGGGGCAATTGGTAATGCTACTTTAAACCTTGGGGAGGGGATTGTAATTTCTAAAATGTGAGGGGTTTCAATTTAATTTACCCAGTGAGGAAAAAATTGGTATTTAAAAAAATTAAATTACTGAGGGGGGAATCTGTAATGAACTTGAAACCTCAGGGGAAGAGATGTTATTTCCAAAAAGTGAGGGAAAAACTGTAATAAATATAAATCTCAGGGGATGTCAATGTAATTTACCCATGATTTTTTTAACAAAAAGTTATTTGGCAAGATGAAAAAAAGGCTACATATAAAATTACAATTATACCTCTTATATTATTTAAGGTTATATATGGGTGAAAATGTAAATTTTTTAAATTGAGTAGGATAGTTTAATCATTTTATTATGATGTGATATCAGAAATAAATATTAACCAAAAACGTCAAAAGTAATTTTTTACTAACTTTTCAAATCACTTTTTAAAAAAGTCAAAAAAATTTAACAAAAAGTCAAAAATTAATTTTTTACCATCTACCCAAAATACTCCGTAAATGTAATTGAAAAAAAATTAATTGAAAAAAAAATTATTTGAAAATATTGGTCTTAATTTCATATAGTTGATTATTATTTGCTATTATAAATTATTATTATATATATTTAATATTGGTCTTAATTTTATAAAATAAAATTTATATATATTAAAAATTATATTGGTTTGGTGTGTGTGTGTGTGAGATGAGTGTTTGTGTGTCACGCAGAGAGAGAGAGAGAAGAGAAGAGTTAGTGCGTGGAGTGAGTGTATTGAAAGCGTGGTTCAAAACCACGTTTTCTCAAAAAAAAAAATCTAAAGCGTGGTTTGAAACAACGTTTTATGAAGAAAAAAAAAATTCCTTAAAAGCGTGGTTTGGAAACACGCTTTTACGATTTCACAAAATTTCCGTGCGATAGCCACAGAAACGTTGAAAGCGTGGTTCATAACCACGTTTGAGCCTAGTTTAGGAATTCTGTCCAAACTAGGCCTAATTTGGGAATTAAGTTACTAATTTGGCTTAATTTGGGAAAAGCCCCTTTTGGGACCTTCAAAATTTTCTCTCTCTATACATACACCTATAGATAACCATTGGAGCTTGGAGCTTGAAGCTATCTGTTGCTAGGAATTCAAGCCTAATCATAGAAGCTTGAGGGTGCTTCGAAGGGGGTTTGCTAATCAAAAAGTCTTTCTTCATCACTTGAAGTAAGTTCTTCAACTTTCTTTGCACTTTCTCTTCCATTTTCTATCCTTTTCTCTCTTGCCAAACACTCTAAAATTCTGAATTTAATTGTTTAATATGTGATTGGGCCTTGTGGATAGTGGAGGGGATTAGCCACCCCTCCATTGAATTGATTGGATTACTTGGATTCTAATTTTTCTTACATTTTCTCTCATTTTATCATCTCACAAACACTTCATAGTTTGATTTTCATTGGTAATTTAGATTAGATTTGGACTTGTATGGAGGGTTCTACTCCT